CGGCAATTTTTAGTGGCCAAAAACGGCAAAAATTCATTTTTTTAAATATTATGTTTAATGCTTGTACAGTCCCTTAAGTTTTCATTAAATTGTATGCGTGTGAGTATTTTATGTAGGAATATGTCCATGTCTAATTATATGTGTGTATATGTATTTGTGTGAGAGGGTTTTTGAATGCACAATTATACAAGATTTAATACACACCGTCTCAATATTATTTTGTGGTTTTAATAACCTTCAATGAACTCGGAACTCTCATGCATTTTTTCAAAGAGTTCCCAAGAGTTGCCAAAGAGTTGCCAAAGATTTTCCAAGAGTTCGCAGTTCATAACTGAAGCGGATTTCTAGAGAAAGAATGTAAATAAAGCGAAAGAGAAGACACGCTGAATGAATTTTTGCCATTTTTGGCCACTAAAAATTGCCGTAGAGCCTAAAGATGGGCATTCTGAGCTTCGACCCCATTGACACTTTTGATCAGGGGCTCAAAACGAACAATTTCCCAAATTTTTAGCAAATTTCACCGGAAGACCGTTTTCCATATAAAATGTGCGGGGTCCTTTCAATTTAGGAATTATTTTACTATTATTAAATAAATAAATTAAACTATCGTTCATTTAAAAAGTTATTTTTTTTACATATTAAGACAAAGTAAACTTGGTTTTTCAATATTTTGTTAGCTATTTAATTACGATTTAAATGTAAAATTAAAGTAAAAATTCATAAATTATTTTCAAATTGGACTTGGTTTGAAACTCAAATTACTTTTTGGTGTAAAGAAATTTGTAATTTACGATACCGCTTGTTCAAAAGCGACAAATTACAAAATTCTTTGCAGCAAAAAGTAATATGCATTGATTCATATTTAGACAAACTGTGTAATAAAATCTATAAAATTGTGTTGCTGGTTGCCTATCTACTTTAGAGCCCTACACTAATCACAGCAAATTGAATGCGAAGAATTCGAATTTAACCTCCGAACATCCATCGAACAAGTGATTTTCTAAAACCTTTAAAAAAATAAATTTTTAAAATTTAGAATATTTAGAATTGCTAGGTTCTATATTTCGGTGCGAAAAAATAGAAAAAATATAGGTTAATATTATTATTAACACTGAATTTGAGAATTAAACGTTTTATATTTTGACAGGAAATAAAATAAAAGAAAATAGTTTTATAGTATCTACGCCACCATAATTACAAGCTGACTGTAATACTGGTTGCCGTAACTTTAGGAATTTTGCAGTTCATTAGAAATGTAATTTTAACAATTCAAATAAATAACTTTTGATTATTTAATTACAATAAATTGAATACGACGAATTAGAATTTGACTTCATCCTATTCCAGAACAAGTGGATTTCGTGTCACAAGTAAAAAATCATATACAATGTGTCCAATTAAGTCGGCACAATTTTTTTATTATCTGTTATTCCTGATAAAAAGTTCTGCGTGTCCTAAAACCCAAAATGATATAATCAGATTTCAAATTTTTGGGCAAACCCCAGAAAAAATGTATCTTTTATACTTAATTTTTTTTTAATTTACAAAAATTATTGTTAAACGAAATATTAATTAAAATTTCAATTTCGGAATTATTTTACTATTATTAAATAAATAAATGAAGCTATCGTTCATTTAAAAGGTTATTTTTTTTACATGTTAAGGCAAAGTAAACTTGTTTTTTCAATATTTTGTTAGCAATTTAATTACGATTTAAATGTAAAATTAAAGTAAAAATTCACAAATTATTTTCAAATTGTTGTTTATTGTTAAAAGATTTAAAAAAGAATAAAAAGCATTTGAATTTATTGCAAAATTCTCAAAATTAAAAAATATTAAAAATAACGCGGTCGATAAAATTACAATTTCAGCTACCTGAAATTTTAATATATAAAGTTTTTTTTATTATATTTATTACTAATTTTATAAACATAATCAAAATTAATTCAAAAAATATTAATCACAACCATTTTCAATAATAGATATAAATAATGCAATATAATACAATTTAAAATTTAAAATTTTTTCTATTTTTATGAGAAATAATAATTTGAAAATAATTTATGGATTTTTACTTTAATTTTACATTTAAATCGTAATTAAATAGCTAACAAAATATTGAAAAAACAAGTTTACTTTGCCTTAATATGTAAAAGAAATAACTTTTTAAATGAACGATAGCTTCATTTATTTATTTAATAATAGTAAAATAATTCCGAAATTGAAATTTTAATTAATATTTCGTTTAACAATAATTTTTGTGACATTTTTGTAAATTAAAAAAAATTAATTATAAAAGATGCATTTTTTCTGGGGTTCAGGGCTATTCTACGAATTCGTAAATATGCCCATTGTTATTTTTTCGTCGAGCTACCCCAGTTTAAAAAAAAAAAAAGTTTCTACGATGAATAGAAGCCGAGATATTGCAAAATTTACAGCGCGCACTTCCCCCACCACCACGCCGCCGGCCGCCGGACAGTTTACTTAGCGAGTACCTTCTCTTTAAAGGGCTCGTGAGTCGTTAATTTTCCACATTTTTCAATGCAATTCACGGGAAATCGTAGTTTACGTCGTAAACTTTATTTTGCGAAAAATTCAAGTCTTAATATTTATAAACAATTGCGCTACGATTTTTTAAAAAAAGATTCTTATCTTGGCTCCTGTTGGTCGTAGAGGGCACTTTTTTTATTTTAAAACTGTATTTTTTTTCCAGCTATCCATTGCACCTATTTTCGGTGAGATAGCATAAATAGCAACAATGTTATTCAAATTGTTTATAAGCGAAAAACGCACGGTTTTTTAATGCACAATTTGAGAATGTTAATGTCAAAAAACGGTGATATTTTTTAATAGGTCGCATAATTACGTCTTTAAGATTACAATGACGCTTTCAGAATCGTGTTTGGTTGAAAATTAACGCCTGTACAGGCTGGTCCATTTTCGATAGGAATTCAGGGTAATTCAGAAACTATTAAAGATATGATAAATCTTACACCACGTTCTCGAGCTCGATTTTCATGGCAAACTCGACTGTCAAATCAGAAATTTGCTATCTTCATTTGTTTCTGAGTTACTGGGCGTTTCTCGTTATTGCGACACTTTTTAACATGTCTGTATCTCAGCTGTTAAATAAGTTAGAGTTAAAGTGAAAACTGCTCAAGATTAATTCTTTGGTTTAGAATTGAATATAATTTTACTCCCTACAAGCTGTCTGTGAGTCACTTTTCGCTAAAATTGATGGTTTTCCCTGCAAAGTGAAAAAACTGTTTTCCTCACTTATTTGTTTAAATAGAAAAGTTAGCAAATACAAGTTTTTGCCTCACGAGACGAGAGGTGTCTTGTGTTATGTTCCTTTAGACAATTTTACAATAATCTCACGGATCGGACTTTTTTCGAGTTTCTCTTTTATTTTCGCTAATTTTCCTGGTGTACTAAGAGATCGTCATATTTTTACTAAAAAAAAAAAAACGTTTCCGAAAATTGGCGGCGCAAAGCAAAAAGATGTAACGTTCGACAGAAAAAGGGTATTTTCCATATTTCAGGTACTGTGTGCCAAGTGCTGCCACCTGCGGTTCAGGCTGGAATACCTGGATGCTGAGGCGAGGGTGTGCAACAAATGCCACGACATCCTCAACAAGGACACGAACAGCACCTCCAGCTCGGACATGTCCCCGGACGTCGGCAATTCCCCCTCGCACCGGCCCAACCCCAACAACCCGTTGGAGTACTGCTCGACGGTGTCGCCCCTGCAACAGGAGGCGGGGGCGAACCCGAACCCGCCCGCCGTCATGGTGCCTGTTGGGGTGTTGAAGAGGAAAGGTTGGTCCTTACGGTCGCGCAACGTTCCACGTTAAAAGCGCCGTTTCGATTTCAGGTTCCAACAAGGGCAAGTCCAACAAGAGCGTGATGTTCTGCGACGGGATCAGGCCCGGCAGCGACCTAACCAACCTGGATAACGACTTCAACTACAACAACATGAAAACAAGGAAACCCGAGAAGACGGGCGCGTCGCCCGGCAAAGCGAAAAGGAATCTGCCGGTAGTGGACCCGGAAACCGGCACGTTCATCCCCAGCAACGAGAACTGTCTGCCGCCGACAGTTATCGTCTCGAAAACAGGTACTTTCGGCGGCGTATATATCGTTTCGGATGTTTCAAGCTTGACCTTTCAGATATATCGTATAGCGATTGCCCGAACGGCCCCTCCACGGTGGAGATCCTGAAGAACGAACAGCTCACGTTCGCGCTACAGGTCAACCTGTACGTCCACTTGAAGATCGTCAACATGAGCTGTTGCATCAACAAGACCGCGTGGTGCTTCTCCACGGAGGGTATGATAAACGTCGGGCAGGACGAAATAGTGATCCTGCTCGAGTATATCGACGAGGAGTCGTTCGTGCCCAAGGACGTGTTTTACCACATCAACAATGTACACAACGATGCCGTTAAAGGTGAGAAATGTTGCTAAAATTACTTGTTTTGTTTTTAGTCGAGATACTATAGCGGTTTTTTATTTAAATCTGTAATTTTACGGTAAAAAATTATTACTTGACAACCCAATCGATGGATTTGCCATTTTTATTGTCTGGAGCTTTTTTTGTAAATTTACAGGAATCTAATTTTACAATAAGAAAGAATTTTCGTCTTAAATTGATAAATCTAAGGACACTTCATTCATTTGATGTACTTTTTTTGTAAATTCGCATGTTAATCTGTAATTCTACAATAAGTAGAAGGTTCAACCAGTGGATATTACATTTTGATTGTGACTACATTTAAATCTGTAATTTTACGGAAAAAAAATTATTACTGTACAATCTAATCGAAAGATTTTCCATTTTTATTGTTTGGGCCTCTTGTCTTGTAAATTTACACGAATCTAATTTTACAATAAGAAAGGATTTTCGTCGGAAATCGGTAAATTTACAGTGCATATAACATTTTCTAAAAACACTATTCATTTCATGTATTTTTTTGTAAATTCGCATGTAAATTTGTAATTTTACAATAAATAGAAGGTTCGACCAGCGGATATTACATTTTGATTGTGACTACATTTAAATCTGTAATTTTATGGTAAAAAATTATTACTTGTCAACCCAATCGATGGATTTGCCATTTTTATTGTCTGGAGCTTTTTTTTGTAAATTTACAGGAATCTAATTTTACAATAAGAAAGAATTTTCGTCTTAAATTGATAAATTTACAGTGCATATAACGTTATCTAAGAACACCTCATTTATGTCGTGTATTTTGTAAATTCGCATGTAAATTTGTAATTCTACAATTAATAGATGGTTAAACCAGTGGATATTACATTTTGATTACGACTACATTTAAATCTGTAATTTTACAGAAAAAAATTATTACTTGACAACCTAATCGATAGATTTTCCATTTTTATTGTCTGGAGCTCTCTTTGTAAATTTACACGAATTTAATTTTACAAGAAAGAATTTTCGTCATTGATTATATGTAAATCGGTAAATTTACAGTGCATATGACGTTTTCTAAAAACACTTCATTCATTTCATGTATTTTTTTTGTAAATTCGCATGTAAATTTGTAATTCTACAATATATAGAAGGTTCGACCAGTAGATATTGCATTTTGATTACGACGACATTTAAATCTGTAATTTTACGGTAAAAAATTATTATTTAACAATCTAATCGAAAGATTTGCCATTTTTATTGTCTTGGGCTCTTGTCTTATAAATTTACACAAATCTAATTTTACAATAAGAATATTCGTCGTAAATCTGTAAATTTACAGTGCATATAACGTTATCTAAAACACTTAATTCATTGTATTTTTTTGTAAATTCGCATGTAAATCAGTAATTCTATAATAAATAGATAGTTAAACAGTGAATATTACATTATGATTTTGATTACATTTAAATCCGTAAATTAAAAAAAATTTTCTATTAAACACTGTTTAATAATTTGTCAAAAACTGGCAAGTTGTAAGTAAATTTACAGCTACGTTTTGTTTGTCTTGTTAAATTTACATTTAAGTATGTAAATTTACAGTGGGAAAAGGTCAGATGATATTTTAGGTTAATCACAAATATTATATTTTGTTGTTTTTTTTAAGTAATTTTATAACTAGAAGATCCCACTTTATTGGTTTAACCAGAGACTACTGCATTTTTGTTGTAAATTCACATTTGAAACTAAATTTACAATGCATATTAAATAATTTAGCGAAATATTGTTGAAAATTTACTATTTGTAAGTAAATTTACAGTTACATTTTATTTGTTTAATTATAATTTGTTTCTAAATGTATGTAATTTTGCATAAAGTGAATGTTACAAAATGGGTTAATCACAAATATTACTTTTTTGTTGATATTTTTATAAAATTACATGTAAATCTGTAAATTTACAATTAGACAAGATCCCTTCAGAGGTTAACCAGTAGGTACAACATTTTTGTGCAAACACTCTATTTAATTGAAACTTATTATTTGCATGTAAATTTACAGTTGCATTTTGTCTGTTTTCTTGGGTTTGAAATATTACATTATTTAACCAGTTGCTACTACATTTTTTTTTGTAAATTTACATTTACAATGTAAATTTTCTGTGCATAAAAGATTATCTAGCATTCTTTTTTTGTTGAAAACTATCTATTTGTAGGTAAATTTACAGTTATATTTTGTTTTGTAATAAATTCACATGTAAATATGCAATTTTACAATAGAAAAATGTCCTTTAACAGTTCAGTTGCAGATAGACATTTGCATTGCCTGTTTTTTTTAATATGCATGTAAATTATTAATTTTAATAATTAGGAGATATCCCTAATTGGTTTAAGAAGCCAGTATTGTATTTTTGTTGTAAATTTACAAATAAATTGTAAATTTTCAGTGCATACAAAACTATCTAGCAAATGCAATTTATTTCTTGAAAATACTACTTCTATGTTGTAAATTTACAATTATATTTTATTTTGTTGTAAATTTACAAACAAATATGTAATTTTACAATAGGAAATCAACGGTTTGTTGTTAATTTACATTAATATATGTAAATTTACATATAAACATAATTATTTAATAGACACGCTTTATTTCTACGTTGACAATTTATTTGTTGTAGGTAAATTTACAGTTACTTTTGTACATTCCCAAATCGGTTACGATTTCAGGTACTTCGGTGAAAGAGTTGGGACTGTCGTTGCACAACACGTCCAACTTCCTCGATTCGAAGAACCACGCCGGTTTCGTCTACATCAAGCCAACGTTTCAGTGCCTGGAGAACATCATCAGGCCCAAGGAGCCGTACCTCATCGGCATCCTCATCCACCGGTGGGAGACCCCGTGGGCAAAGTTGTTCCCGTTGAGGCTTGTACTGAGGCTGGGGGCGGAGTATAGGTAGCGTTTTTTTCACCGTTACAAGCCGCCTTTCGATTTTCGGTAACGAACGCTGCTCGTTTCAGGTACTACCCGAGTCCCATCATATCTACCAGGCACAGGGAAAGTGTCTTCGTGGAGATAGGGCACACGATTATTAATTTGCTGGCGGATTTTAGGAATTTCTCTTACACGCTGCCGCAGATCAGGGGGCTCACCATCCACATGGAGGATAAGAATACCACTATTACTATACCGGCGAATCGATATGACCAGGTAATGCTCGTAATTGCACCCTTAATTTGTAAATTTACATATAAGTACTGTAAATTTCCGATTTGTTTTGTCAATTTTTTTTAAACTCAGAAAACTACTCTTTCAGAAGGTATGGAACATTCACATTCTGTCTTTGTGTTTTGGCTTTAAATTCAGTTGAAATTTCCATCTATTTATAAAAACTTGCAGTATAACCGAAAATGTTAAACTAAATTTGTAAATTTACGCGAAATATATGTAAAATTACTGTATGTATCTGTCATGACTGTAAATTTACATTTAGGTATGTAATTTTCCAGGTTCCTGTGGAAACTTCAAGTTTTTACTTGAATCTTAGTAATTTACATCTTACAAATGGAAATTTACAGTTCATTTGGCAATTCTAACAGTATTTGTCAGTTTTTACAATCACTATACTTATATGATATAAATGTATTCTGACCAATGAAAGTTTACTATCACTTGGCGATTTTCATCATATTTGTAAGATTTTAGCCACTAAATTTATTACAAATATAAATTTACGGTTTCACTTCGAAATTTTAAACGTATTTGTAAGATTTTATGTATAAATTCACATTTAAATCTTATAAATGTACATCTGATTTATGTAAATTTACAGTTTCATTTATATTTGTAAAATTTTACTGTCAAAATTGTAAATTTATACTTGGATTTGTAAATTTACATCCGACAAATGTAAATTTATGGCTATTCTAACTATATGTAAAGTTTTATAGCTGTAACGTTAAGTTTATATACCAATCTTTTAAATTTACATTTGAGCAATGTAAATTTACACTTTTATTCGGTGATTCCAACCGAATTCGTAAGATTTGTCACAATTTTAAATTTACATTTGACTTATATAAATTTATGGTTTCATTTGTTGCTTCTAACCGTGTTTGTAAGATTTTACAGTTGCAAGTATAACTTTACACTAAAATATTAAATTTACGTCTGACCAATGTAAATTCACAGTTTCATTTGGTAACTAAGCAGGTTTGTAAGATTTTACAGTCACAACTGTAGATACTCACTTAAATCTTATAAATTCACATCTAACTTCTGTAAATTTACAGATTAATTTAGTAATTCTAACCGTATCGTCAACTGTATGTTTACATTTGTTTTGCAGATGTAAACTTATGTCTTCATTAGGGAATTCTTAATAATTTATGTAAATTTACAATTTCATTTGGTGATTCTAACATAAGTAAAATTTTATAGTTATAACTGTAACTTTACACTGTAATCTTATAAATTTACATTAGACCAATGTAAATTTACAATTTCATTTGACAATTCTAACCATATAGGATTTGTAACTATAAATTGTCCCCCAAAATCTTACAAATTTACAATTAACTAAGATTTACAGTTTCATTTGGCCATTTTCACTGTGTCTCTGTCATTTTACAGTCACAACTATAAATTTTTTACCTTTAAATCTTGTAAATTTACGTCCGATTAATGTAAATTCACCTTTCAACGACCCTCGTCCTTTTCAAGGTTATGAAATCGATGAGCAATTCCAGCGACCACATCCTGGCGTTCGCTGGCAACTTCAGCCAGCAGGCCGACTCGCACCTGGTGTGCATCCAGGACACCCAGGGCAACGAGAACTGCTACTCCACCCACGCCATCAACATCCACAACCAACCGAGAAAGAGTAAGTTGATGCGCCTAGCCTAAATCTCGAGGATTTACATGTGAAATCATTGCCCGCAGTTACCGGGGCGAGCTTCATCGTGTTCAACGGAGCTTTGAAATCGACCAGCGGCCTGACGGCCAAGTCCAACATCGTGGAGGACGGACTGATGATCCAGGTGCTGCCCGAGCACATGCAGCTCATCAGGGATAACCTGAGGGCGATGAAAGACCACACGATATCGTGCGGATGCGTCAACGCTGTGTCGGACGAGACGGTTAACATCATGTGGGGCGAGAACGACGTCAATTTTAACATAGGGTGAGTGCTGTTTCGGCAAATTCGATCAACGGTAATTTTTTTCAGTTAAAAGTCGCATTTGTAAATTTACGTATAAATTTACATCCAACCAATGAAAAATTATAGCTTCTTTCACTGTTTTTAACTGTAAATGTATGATTTTACAGTCATCACCATATTTTTGTAAATGCCATTTATGCTTATAAATGTATGAGGTGAATGTAAATTTACTTATTTATTAGGTGATTCTAAAAATATTAGTAATATTTTACAATGGATTAAAAATTTGGATTTATAGTATTTACATTTTACAAATCTTACAAATTTACAATTTTATTGGTGATTATGTCTGCATATATCAAGTTCTACTCTCACAATTGTAAATTTACACTCAAATCTTGTAAATTTGCAACAGACTAATGTAGATTTATAGTTTCTTTCGCGATTTTGATAGTAAATTGTAATATTTTATACACAACTTTTTTTATGTATAAATCCAAAGTAAATTCTAACTGTATTTGAAACATTTTGCAATCAGTTATTTTATGTTTACAAATTTACACTTGACTGACGTAAATTTACAATTTTATTCGAAGATTCTAGTCATATTTGTAAAATTTTACAGCGGCAACTGTAGATTTACGGTTTGCAATTGTAAGATTTTACAGTTGTAACTAAATATTTTGATATACATATATTTTTTCTTAAATTTTATAAATTTACATTTAACCAATGTCACAACAGCAAATTTATACTTACATTTTATAAATTTCCATGAGACCAATGTAAATTTACAATTTTATTGGCGATTCTATCTGCATTTGTCAAATTTTGTAGTCACGACTGTAAAATTACATATATCTTACAAATTTAGATCTGACTGATGTAAATTTGCAGTTTCAGTTGACGAATCTAAACGTATTTGTAAGATTTTACAATGAAATATAAATTGCATCTAACAAATTTATAGTTTTTCTTGGTGATTCGTATTTGTAAGATTTTACAATCAACTGTAAATTTGTACTTATGTCTTACAATCTACATACAATCAATATCAATTTTCAATTTTATTAGCAATTCTATCTGAATTTGACAAATTTTATAGTTACGACTGTAAAATTACATATATCTTACAAATTTAGATCTGACTGTTGTAAATTTACAGTTTCAGTTGACGAATCTAAACGTATTTGTAAGATTTTATAATGAAATATAAATTGCATCTAACAAATTTATAGTTTTTTTGTGATTCGATTTGTAAGATTTTACAATCAACTGTAAATGTGTACTTATGTCTTACAATTTACATATAATCAATATCAATTTACAATTTTATTAGCGATTCTATCTGTATTTGTCAAATTTTGTAGTCACAACTGTAAAATTACAAATATCTTACAAATTTAGATCTGACTGATGTAAATTTACAGTATCAGTTGACGAATCTAGACGTGTTTGTAAGATTTTACAATCAACTATAAATTTTATCTAATAAATTTACGTATGAGCAATGTAGATTTACAATTTCTGTTACTATTTTAATTGTAAGATTTTACAATAATAACTGTATTATTTTTTTACATATATGTAAGTATATTTCATATTTGGTGATTTTAACTGTATTTGTAAAGTCTTGTGGCAAATTTGCAACTAAATTTTATAAATTTACATTCGACTAATGTAAAGTTACACAATAAATGTAAATTCTGAAGTAAAGTGTAAGAAGTCGCACGAAAGGCGGTACACAAAGTTCTCGTATAGAAAACTATGTAGACGGTAACTTTTTTATGCCCGTAGGGTCGTGTCGGCCATCGACAACACCCCTCTGAGCGGAATACCCTCGATAAGAGTCCACAACGCCAAGAACCACATCTGCGCCAACGGCAGCAGGATCATCAGGTGGACCGAGGTGTTCATCATACAGGTAGTCGAACAGACGACGTCGAATTTGGAAAAAAAAAACGCTTAACTTGCCATCGGTGTCTTTTTTTCAGAACGGCGACGACAGTCCCAAGAACCAGGACTCCGTCGACATATCCAGGGTGTCGGAGAACATAGCCAAGGCGACGTGCGACGCATTGGTCAAGTACCTCGACCTGCTCGTCGCCAACAGCTGTCAGAAGGTCGGGATCAGGACGACCTTGCACGTGGATAATGTGAGTATGGCAACTGTGAACTTTCAAGGAAAATGTGTACCGATTAATCTTGCTCCTAGTGGCTATAACACCACTTTGAACTAAGGTCTATGTGATATTCAGCCGCAATAGCTCAGCTACGCTATTTATGCATTTTGGAAATTGATTTTTGATCCTGGATTCGGAAAGATCATAGAAATTTTACGTTTAGATAGGTTCTTTTTGGGAATGACCTTTGAAGGTTATTTCAAGGACAAAATATTTAAATTTCGCACCTGAATATCTCGTCAGGGAAGTCACCAATCCGAAAATAAAGGGAACATCAGGTAGTTATCGTGATTTTGACCTTGATATTGATCTTCAAGGTCATTTGAAGGTCAAATTTATTTTTTTTAATAGGAACCTCTATTTGTAACCCCGGATTCGGAAAGAGCGTAGAAATTTTACGTTTAGATAAGCTCTTTATAAGAATGACCTTTAAAGGTTATTTCAAGGGCAAACTATTTAAATTTCACACCTGAATATCTCGTCAGGGAAGCCACCAATCCGAAAATAAAGGGAACATCAATTGGTGACCTTATTTAAAGGTCAAATTATATTTTTTTAAATAGGAACCTCTATTTTTAACCCTGATTCGGAAAGAGTGTCGAAATTTTACCTTTAGATAGGCTCTTTTTGGGAATGACCTTTAAAGGTTATTTCAAGGACAAAATATTTAAATTTCGCACCTGAATATCTTGTCAGGGAAGCCACCAATCCGAAAATAACCCCTACGGAAGTTGTTGGGTTCGAAGGGGGGCATCAGATGGTGACCTTCAACTTGACCTTCAAGGTCATTTGAAGGTCAAAGCTAATTTTTTAGTTAGGAGACTCCATTTTTGACCACATATTCGGAAATCCAGGCGCGTAATTTAAAATGGCACACCCTGTATATATTTCCTTTGAAAGTTTGCAAAATAATTTAACTATTTCAGTATTTTTTGTTTTTTTGTGCATTTTTATACCGAGACGTCTTTCCGTCGCAGGTTTCGTATCTAGCGGGGAGCAACGGCGCGAAGCTGCCCCCGATCTACATGAAGAGCCTGGACAACGAGCTCATCCCCGTGTTGCACAGGATAACCACGAATAACCTGGGCGAACACTCCATCGTTCTCGAGCTCGTCTTCCGGATTTTGAATTTGTAGGGGCGGGGGGTAGTTTTTTCTTTCCTATCGGTCTCCGACCACGTCTGCTACCAACTAACGTTTCGATAGGTGATTTATTTAAAAGTCTAGGTATACAGGGTGGTCGTAAATTGTCTGCCGGCACTTTTATAAGGTACGTCGAAAAACGAGGTTATCGTATCGGGAGACGATTTTTTGCCACCCCGCGTTGTAGCATCACTTAGTGCGGTTAAGAGTAAACCTGCTGATTATGTTTTATTGAAATTCTTCTAGTTCTTTCGCTGTGTTAATTTAAAAAGTGTTTAATATTATTTGTAGCGATCTTATGTTTCAAAGCAAGGGTCTAGGACCTTTTTAATTTGTTTTGTTCCTTCGGTCGTTTTTTATTTTTTTATCGGCAAACTAAAAAACTGTATATTTCTTGTTGATTGTTGAAAATATTGTACATTGTAATTATGGATATTTAAATATATGTTTTAACCTTCGTCGTCTTGATTTTTTTTTCTTTAATCCTGTTCATGGATTCGATTCCCGTCTGCGGAGCTTAGCGGAGGGGTAAGTTAAATGAAAGGTGTTAATGGTCATGTCTTCATTGATCATATTCTTATTATCCTGCTACAATTACTTTCTCATTAATTAAATTTTGACATACAGTATATTCGCCATTTCGCCAAATTTCTTTTACTAGAAGTGATACGTTTGAACTACTTCATCTTTTGGACATCCCTCTACAAAGTTACTTTGTTATTATTGGTCGCCTTAGATTTTGAAGTACAGAATAGAAATTTGTAATTAATATTTAACGGATTCCTTAAAACTTTAATGGCAATAATGGAGAAGCAGAGTGATAGAAATTTATTACGTTAAGTTAGAAGAATATTTCTACCACCCAATTACAAATTTTAATGATTCCATTTCGCCAAAATTCTTTTACTAGAAGTGAGACGTTTGAACTACTTCATTTTTTCGACATCCCTCTACAAAGTTACTTTGTTATTATTGATCGCTTTAAATTTTGATGTACAGAATAGAAATTTGTAATTAATATTTAACGGATTCCTTAAAACTTTTGATTTTAACATGCGTTTGATATTTAATGGCAATAATACAGAAGCAGAAAGTGATAGAAATTTATTACGTTTAGTCTCCTTTTACTAGGAGACATTTGAACTACTTCATCTTTTGAACATCTCTCTTTACAGTTACTTTGTTATTAATGGTTGCCTTAAATTTTTAAGTATAAAATAGAAATTTGTAAGTAATATTTAACGGATTCCTTAATACTTTTGATTTTAACATGCGTTTGATATTTAATGGCAATAATGGAGAAGCAGAAAGTGATAGAAATTTATTACGTTAAGTTAGAAGAATATTTCTACCACCCAATATACAAATTTTAATGATTCTATTTCGCCAAAATTCTTTTACTAGAAGTGAGACGTTTGAACTACTTCATCTTTTGGTCATGCCTCTATAAAGTTACTTTGTTATTATTGGTCGCCTTAAATTTTGAAGTACAGAATAGAAATTTGTAATTAATATTTAACGGATTCCTTAAAACTTTTGATTTTAAGATGCGTTTGAAATTTAATGGCAAAATACAGAAGCAGAAAGTGATAGAAATGTATTACGCTAAGTTAAAAGAATACTTGTACCACCTAATATATAAATTTGGATGATTCCATTTCACCAAAATTCTTTTACTAGAAGTGAGACGTTTGAACTACTTCATCCTTTGGACATCCCTCTACAAAGTTACTTTGTTATTATTAGTCGCCTTAAATTTTGAAGTACAGAATAGAAATTTGTAATTAATATTTAACGGATTCCTTAAAACACTTTTGATTTTAAGATGCGTTTGAAATTTAATGGCAAAATACAGAAGCAGAAAGTTATAGAAATTTATTACGTTAAGTGAAAAGAATACTTGTAACACCGAATATACAAATTTTGATGATTCCATTTCGCCAAAATTCTTTTACTAGAAGTGAGACGTTTGAACTACTTCATCTTTTGGACATGCCTCTATAAAGTTACTTTGTTATTATTGGTCGCCTTAATTTTTGAAGTACAGAATAGAAATTTGTAATTAATATTTAACGGATTCCTTAGAACTTCTGATTTTAAGATGCGTTTGAAATTTAATGGCAAAATACAGAAGCAGAAAGTGATAGAAATTTATTACGTTAAGTTAAAAGAATACTTGTACCACCGAATATACAAATTTTGATGATTCCATTTCGCCAAAATTATTTTACTAGAAGTGAGACGTTTGAACTACTCCATATTTTGATCATCTTGCTAAAGTTATTTTATCAGTAACAGTCACTCGATGCACAGAAGTTTGTCGAGATAGAATTCTAGTACTAATACGTGGGTCAACTTCAATTGTACTCAAAATAAGTTCTCCGTCTTGTGCCTTGAATGCAAAATAGCACGTTCTCGAGTGTTACTCAAATACTTGCCTGTTTCTCGAGGCCGTCTTTCAACACTGGAAAATATTTCTCTATGGGGGATTACACGATTTGGAAATCTCCGATATTCTTCAACACTTCTTCTATAGTTGCCTTCATAGAAACCTAATACTATTAGCATGTCAACTGTTCGCTAAATGAAAACTACCTCGAAATTTGAAACCCCAATTTCAAGGCCTATAACTTCTCAGGGATATAAAGGTAAGTTGCGTTAAATCACCATATTTTGGGTTCCACAACATGCCCCTGTTCTGTATCGGTTCTTAAGCCAAACACCCTGTAGTTCATGAAAATTAGATTCGTGTCCTGTGCTCATTAATAGGCGTCCATTTTCCTATCAAGTTATTTTAAAAAATGTAAATAAAAAGACTAGCCATTCTGGTAAAATTTGAACCTGTTTCTGCGTAGGTGAGATACATTGTTTCCATTAATTTTTGTTGTGAATTGTAAAGCTATATTAGAAAATGCAGAAATTATATTATTGGTCTATAAATAAAGGAAGATTTATTTATAATTGTGCTGTTCATTTTTAATGTATTTACTTATAATCTATAACAGATAAAATGTTAGAAATTCTTATGCAGCCAGATATACACAGGTTCGTATTGTATGCTGCCTACCGAACAAAGACAAATGAAACCGAAAAGAAGGAAATCCAAAATTTCAAAAACTGGTGGAGCTAGAGAAGAACTGAATGTAGTTTTGGATTGATCATATAGTTCACCGCAATATTTTCAGAATTTTCTGAGTCCTAAAAATTTTTGAGAAAATTGATTGATGGAATCATGAAAATTATCAAAAAATTAAAATGCCATTCTAGATTGGTATCTATATGCATTTGGGGTCCTGTGTCCTGTGCTCATTAATAGACGTCCATTTTCCTATTGTTATTAAAAAAATTGCAAGTAAAAAACTAGCCATTCGAGTAAAATTTAGGGTTGTTTCTTGCATAGGTGAGACGTATAGAAAGTAACTGAACGCAGTTTTGGATTGATTATAGTCCAGGAAATATAGAGTTGGTTGCGACTTTTTGTTTCGGCAAGCTGAATTTATCACTATAGATGCTAAATATTATGTACAATAACATATTAGTTTCCGCAGTCATAAAGATGGGGGGAAGATTGTTTACAGGCTGGTTAATTGTATAATTTTAACGTAAATTCACGTTTTTCGCTTATAACTTTTTTCCGTTCATGTCCGCGTGAAAACAGTAAAGTACTTTTTTTCGTCTTCAAAAGACCTACAAAACTAGTCCTCGAGCGTCAAAAAATATTGATTAGATCAAAAGTTATAAACAGAAGAAGTTTATTTATGACTTTTGAATTTAAACATTTATAAACTGCGTTATTATTACCAGAACGTTTTGGCATCGCATCCTCTCATTCCTTATCACTGTCTAATAACTCACACGAAATCTGGAATCGGTAAGTTGAATAGTTTACAAGTTATGGCCTTATAAACAAGTTAACTAATTATTAGTATGGACGATTCCGAGGATCTTCCACAATCGCACTGATTTGTTTCATGGTAGATTTCATAATAATACCTTGAAATCTATCATTTTCTTTTTTAATTTCAAATTTGCAACCTGGATTTTTTTTTATTTTTTAGCCTTAGTTGCAAAATGAAATATACGACGCACGAGCGTGATATAGTTATATATTATTACATATTCGGAAAGCTCATGAAAAGTAAAAAATCATTAAGATTCGTTGAAAAACAACGGAGTTACAGACTGTCAAATATATAATTTTCAAGCGAATTTCGCTTATTTAACGGCAGAACTATGAATATTATAGTCATTTTCTTCGGACTCGCTGTCGTTCGCTCCCCCCACCCTTCCGCCGCGCCACGGTTCGCTAAAAATCAAGCGACCCGCTGACTTTTGACAATATTTCTTATGCACTTAACATACTTCCACAAATGAAATATTTTTACCTGGGAAAGTACTCGGGTTGCCGGTTATGACAGTATTTTTTTTGCCGCTACCAACCTAATTTGTTTAACAATAAGCCGTCAATTTTGACAGTCCTCAGTTGTTTTTCAACAAATGTTAACGATTTTTTTTTAACTTAAAGCTCTTTTCATAAGCTTTCCGAATGTGTAACAATATACAACTATATCACGCTCATGCGTCGTATATTTCATTTTGCAACTAAGGCTAAAAAATAAAAAAAAATTCCAGGTTGCAAATTTGAAATTTAAAAAAAAATGATAGATGTATTATTATGAAATCTACCATGAAAAAAATCAGTGCGATTGTGGAAGATCCTCGGAATCGTCCAGACTAATAATTAGTTAATTTGTTTATAAGGCCATAACTTGTAAACTATTCAACTTACCGATTCCAGATTTCGTGTGAGTTATTAGACAGTGATAAGGAATGAGAGGATGCGATGCCAAAACGTTCTGGTAATAATAACGCAGTTTATAAATGTTTAAATTCAAAAGTCATAAATAAACTTTTGTTTATAACTTTTGATCTAGTCAATATTTTTTGACGCTCGAGGGCTAGTTTTGTAGGTGTTTTGAAGACGGAAAAAAGTATTTTACTGTTTTCTCGTGGACATGAACGGAAAAAAGTTATAAGCGAAAAACGTGAATTTACGTAAAAAATATACAATTAACGAGCCTGTACCTAAGTAATCTTCCCCCCCCATTTTTATGACTATGGAAACTAATATGTTATTGTACATAATATTTCCATAGTGATAAATTCAGCTTGCCGAAATAAAAAGTCGCGAAATAGTCATTTCCCACCTTATTTTCCTGGACTATAACGCCGTTACAGACTACTGAAATTTTTTCAGATTTTTCAGTAATAAAAATTTTTGAAAAAAATAGTTTGACTATACAGTGTTTCGCATAATAACCGACACAGGGCAGGAGTTTGTAGAGAAATCCAAAATATGGTGGTTTAACGCAAAAAGTCATTTAATTTTAGTAAATGTTTGCTCAGTGTTTTGAAAATGGCCGGGAAGTTTTCATTTAGCGAACAAGTTGACATGCTA